TCAAGTAACGAACCAGTGGCTTCGTAACAGTACAGTCGTCGGCAAAAGTGTAAAAATAAATAAGGAAAACTTACATAGATAAATTGCTTACATAACAAAGATAATTACATAACAATTATATTAAGGGAAAATGATCAATTAATTAACTATGCCTATCTTTTATTAATAGATATTATCTTAGCTTAGAACGAGGTCTTTATAGACTATTAATAATAAATTATCTCTAGGCTACATTTAACTAGAGAATACAATGTAATCGATTTTACTGTGACCACGACCCCGCCATCAAACGCAGGGGCAATTACTTAGTTAAATTGCCAGTAGGATTTGTATGAGCACTAATTGTTGTAAATGCTGTATTTTTCACATTCTTAGTAAATGGGTTTTTTTAATTACGATAGATGGCTTATTTTACAGTCGCTTAATTGTTAAAAACGGATGTTGAAGATTGTTATTCGACGCTAGTTATAAGCGATTCTATAAATAAAAACAAAATTACTTTACTTCACCTGGCGTAATGGTTAGACGCGAGAGAACCCGACTTTATTTGTAGAATTAAGAAAGCAAAAACTAATAACGTCTTTATAAAAAATACTTAGTTTCATTATGTAAATTGTATTATAAAATTTAAGATGATATTAAAATTAATACGTTTAGCTTGCTCTAATTGCGCGCACGACTGTACATATATGCGTAATGCCATCCAGGATAAGTTACGCGCTGAGCTATTTTAAATTTCGAAAAGCGAAAGCTTGACATTTGACAAAAAGCTGATTACGACGTCACGTTTTTTTCCCCGGGATTCCTTTCAGCCGGGATTAATTTTGTCCGTTTTATAAGGGTTCACTTATCTCGGAGGAGAGTGTTACGAACGGGTTGTATTTATCGCGGCCATTATACGTTTTATTATTTAATTTATTTAACGCTCCGGGCTTATCAACTTGTCTATTAAATCGACGATGGATTAATGCGATTGAAAATTATACATTTATCCTCGAGCTTCGATAACTTTTTAATGTAGATAAGCACTGCAATAGTGTAGGGTATTGTATTGTTATATTTAGAAGAATATGTTACCGTGTTTGCAGAAGCTCGTTTTTTCACAATAACCCCCTTTCTTTTTTGGCGACCCTCTTGAAAATTGGTTTTTTTTGTTTTTTTTTTTTTTGTTGTTTTTTTTTTCCTTTTTTTCCCCAAGATTTTCATGTCTGTCTAATTATTGTGCGAAACCATGTTAGCCCTGTTTGCCACAATCGATTTTATTTACACACTACTTGATCAGATTTCTATGTCCTGCCGAATTGAAACTATCGTTTTCCGGGAATGAACTCGCGACCCTCGTGCTCGAGCTACGTACGCGGTCAACCATTACATATTTATACGTTTTTTAATTAACTTTTAAGCTGTGTTGATCCTGCTATTTGTGTGATATTTATTGTCATAAAAGACTAACTAATAGACTTCAAGAAGGTTCAGTAACTATTTGTTTAAATCGAATAGATGCAACTAATGAAATGAAAGAAACAAGTAATTTACCAGCCCAATGTTTCTACATACAATAAAATGTTTATTTATTATTTATATATTATAAGTTACTAATCTTGAAGTGTATACGTTAATAGAATTTATAAGGGTCGGCAAGGAGATATATTTCAAATCGGATTGCTTACATCTGACGACCGACGTTTAACCTCAAAAAGGTCAGTGATAAAACCTTTTTTTCAACAGGTTTTTACGAAACAAAGGAAGGTATATATGCATTTTTCTTGGCGTTTACGCAAAAACTAAAAAAATATTTTTTTATGATGGTTTAAGAACAGAGCATATTCTATAATAATTTAAAACGATTTGGTGAATTTTAAATTATTACTTTATTTGTATTTATTTGTACTTTTTAACTATCAATTTAAGTTAAAACTTAAATGAAACCCTTCAACGGTTTAAAAGGCGATATATATTAGTTAAACTTATTTAAGAATTATTTGTAACTAGAAAACTAATATACATCGAGTTTTAAACCGTTGAAGGGTTTTGTTTAAATATTTACTACTCTCTTAAACTACAAACACAATTTGAAAGTTAAAATGACATTCGTGGCATTGTAGGAATCAAAGGACGTAAGTAACTTTGAAACTTATATTAATCTTTCTCTCGACAATAAAAAAAATAGAAATAAAATAAAAAAAATTCAGGAAAATTCTCTAATTAAAAAAATTCATCAATTGATTAAAAAACATTAATTATTATAATCTTTTAAACTACAATAGCTAAGTGTAAAATTCTCTCGTCTTAATTAAACAAGACGATTTATTGTTATTAATTTTTCAGAAATGATAACAAAAACGCTAGGTAACTTGTATAATAAAATTATACAAGCCTCTAGCGCGATTCTAAAAATAAATAATTTAAATATTTTTTTGCAATTAACCGCGTAATTTTCTGTTTTACATTTCGTACACATTATGTATTTTTAGTAGATCCACTTTAATTGGGTATAATTGTTTCATCACTTAAAAAGGTTTGATTTTTGTTACAGAAGAATTGTAAATATTTATGAAATGTAAAAAAAACATGTGTTTAAGTAAATCAGTTTTTATTTCTTCCATAAACTAAAAATAGTTTATGGAAGTATTATAAGCCTTCAAAAATAAGAAATAAAATGCATGGAAATAAATAAATTAAATGAAAACTGGAAAAATAATAATAACAAAGCTATTCTACCTATAAAATAAGTATGTATTCATTCACGATATTAGATAGTTGGACAGCAATATGTTTAGTTAAATGAACTACCAATTTAAGAATTTAATCTATATCTATACTAATATATAAAACTGAAGAGTTTGTTTGTTTGTCTGCTTGAACGCGCTAATCTCAGGAACTAGGAGTTCGATTTGAAAAACTCTTTTTGTGTTGGTTAGAGCATTTATCGAGGAAGGTTATAGGCTATAACATCGCGTTGTGACTAATAGAAGCGAAGATACAGCGGGAAATGTGAACAAAACGGGGGAAATTTGTCATCTCTGTGGGTTTCAGATGCGTAGGTTGCGAAAAAGGATTCAAGATACAAGATGATACCTAAAAATGTTTATAAAAGAATGATTCCTTTTTAAATGACTTAAAGAAAAGCTACGCGACGCTACGCTATATGTCTATCTTTTTAACTAATTTGAATGCCCAATATAACGATTCGCGCGGACGAAGTCGCTGGAACAGCTAGTTTAGTGATACACGATTACAATATTATATTGTGTAGAAAAGATAAAACTAGTACATATTAAATAATAACAATACAAATTTGGAAAAAAGGAATTCTGAAAAAATGTTTATCAAAACATGTCTTTTTTTATATATTGAAAGGGCTGCCCCGTATATTTACTGTACAAATATGCTTATAATTTCAAATATGAGTTTTAATTCATCATATATGTATATAAAGGAATCTACAAAAACATACTAAAATAAAAAATCAAAACCTATTATTTTGTTTATGGTAACTACGTCGAGAAAGGTCATTATGCACTTCTTATTTCATATTCAAATAAATTTATACAAACTACAGACTCTGGATCATGAAAGATTACTCTACAATGTTTGAAAACGTGAGCACTAAAGCTGTGGTCTCCTAGAAACGACATAGGCAGCGTATCTTGTTATAAGATCCCATTGGTCATTTGAATTGAATTGAATTTTATTAGCAAGCCACAGTCTTCTTAAAAGTGCCGCATTTCGTCTAATATTGTGACTTGGCTCTGGGTTCCAGAATGGTCCCAAAAAATGTATTAAACGTTTGCGTTACTTACTAGCGTTACACGTTACGTACTTATATTATTTCTTCAGTTACTTACTGCGTTAAGCGTATATTTACGTATCTACAAGAATTTACAACTTAAGTGTCGTCTGCAGATTTCGCGATTAGATAGTACACGTGGAAAGACTCTTTTAACGGTTTAAAACGTGAAATATATTGACCTGTGAGTTCCCTTATCCACAGCTGAAGGATATTTTAAACCGTTAGGTAATAGTGTTATATTAAATTGTATTTATAGCTTAGGTTCTCATCGTAAAATTCGACGTTGTCTTAACAATGATTATTTTAGCGAAGTAACTAAGACCCTGATTTGTATACGACTCATTTATATCTGACCAGAGCCTAAGGTAGTTTACATCGTGTAATAAGTCGATAGCTCAGTCCATTGTTCCAGCGGTTTCTCAGTGAGTTAAGTCTTAAGTACTTGCGTGACTGTTCTCAGTATTGTCGAGGGAGCCAGATGTCAAAGCATGGCCTGATATTGTATAACAATTATGAGATTATATCAAACTGTTACATATAAATGATTTTAATTAACAACGCAATCTTGTTAGGTGAACGCAAGCGCACGCCGTTGATGTCTTTTCTTTGGATTTTTGAATAAGGAACGAAGAGTAGCCAAGCAACAAAAAAAATAATATGCGTGTGTTTTATTAATTCAAAACATTCGATTTTTAAAGTATTTAGAAGTGGAAGACATTTCGTTACGTTACGCGCAACAGCCAGTCTGTTAGATACTAAATACCTAGTTCAACGAATCACTTCTGCCGGCTGACCCAAAACGACTTTGTTTATTTTTTTAGTTAAAAGATTATCGGGTGCGTCTTATAAGAATTTATAAACAACACTTAAGCGAAGCCGATTTATCTGTAAAAGAGATTTGTAAATGGTTTTTAACAGCCTATTAAGTAAACGTTTTTAGTTTAATAATTATTTATTAATATGGATTGTATGTGAATACGAATGAGTATCAAATATACGTACCTAAAATTATTGTTCCATTTAACTAGTAGTTCATTTGTTATTTTATTTGAATCAATATTACTTAAGTCCTGGATACTTTACTTAGAAAACGGACCTATGTCCTTTTTCAATTTTTTTATAAAGCTATTGATGTTTAACTGTGAATTTGAAAAGGAATAGTTTCAGCGAATCGCACCGTTAAGAAATGTACTCTAGTAGAACTTACCTGGCGAATCCGTAGCTGATCGATCCGAATCGGAGTCCCGATGCGCGCTGAGGTCCCTCGGCGCCGCATCCAGGATATCCGTGATCATGAACCGCGTCCGGGGCGCGCGCTCGTCCCGCTGCACCGTCATAGCCACGGCGCCGCCGGCGGGGCCCGCTCCGCCTGCGCCGCACGCTTCTACCGCATCCAGCGCAGACCACCACCCGCCTGCGCCGCCCAGCTTCACCGCCGCCACGTCACCGGCTAGACACCATCGCAGACAAAACACAACAGAACCGGGAAAATCCACTAGACGCAATGGACGCACTATTCCAAATTTGAATATTCACACACGTAAAGTCCGGCGTGGCTTCGGATTGCGCGTGCGACTGACGCAGAGTGTGGCGAGCGACTGAGCGCGTCGGGCAGAGCGGGCAGGAGGCGGCGCCGGCCAATGGGCGAGGGCGGGCGGTCTCGGCCGCGGGGCGTGTCGCTGCCATGTTGGCAGGGGGCGCTAATGCTCTTTTTGCACTCGCCCGGAGAAAGCTCCGCGGATTTAAGCTTTTATACGTATAAAACGCTTTTATAGGAAATAAAGTGTTCTCGCGGCGGGATATCGCGCTTTACGATGGCATTTTACTGAAACTTGGCGACACTATAACAGACTATACGTTCATGATTGCATCGCGACCGCCAAATTGTCGTTCGCGTGTTGCACCTATAGTTTTTGGCTTTTATTCTGTCGGAATGTACCTGTATTGTTTTAATATCTTAAAGCCTTATTAGATTTTATTTATTTGGGACACTTGACCTTACATCAAGACCATACCTACTTGTCACTACGTATTTCTACATTATACCCTAATATATATACTAAATTCATATTACGAAAAAAATGCGGAAGGTATTCAAAATAGCATTATATGCTCTGATTTAACCAACCAAACGTTGTCTAAGACGAGAATAAGGTTTAGTAATATTTGACTTACTTATGCTTTCTGTATAGGTATCTAAGAATTGAATCTATTTGTGTCACGGCCTCCCCGTGACCACGGCTGCTGCAAAGCATCCGAAACGTGGGGCTGAAGTTAAAAATCATTTTCAAATTAGTTTAACTAATATAACGCATTCTAAACCCGTTAAGTGTTTTATTTAAATGTGAACTACTCGCGTAAACTATAGACAGTATTTCCTATATTGTTTGATAAAATGAATAGGAGTCACAAATATCGAAATTAATTTCACCACCATAACCAGGGAAAATAAAAAAAAATACGGAAAACACCCCCAATGTGTCTTTAAATGTGTTTTTTTAATTCATAACCGATTTCCATTAAAACTCTGTGTAATAAAAACATCTCTTAACAGAATTAATAGTTTTAAAATGGTATATCGTGCACCAGCGCATGCGCAGTGCAGCTCGTAAATACCTCTAATGGTCGGAGAAAAAATTGCAATGAACAGATGCAATTATATAGTTCACAGTACACTGAGTCCGCTTGAGACTTGCTGATATATTATAACAATTCTGGGACGTTCACATCCTTGATTTAAAATGTTTCGATTAATAAAACAATCTCAGACACATACGAAGCTGGAATTTCTTATGTTGAAAGTATTTTCCTAATATTATCTGTGCTCAAATTTATTTATTCGTTACGCATCTGTTAAAATTCGTTATTCACAAAGAAAGAGCGCAGCGGGAGTGCGTCTATATAGTTACTAATAACTTAAAGCAGTTGTCCGTATTTATTTTATATGTGTCCTTTAAATCTATACAATAATTATTGTAGTTATAGTAAACTCCCATTTTCTCTTCAACATGGATCGAACACAATATTGTGTTCGTTTCACTGTTCAAAATTTCTTACAGACAAGTAGTTGATCAGACTTCTGTGCCCTGTCTGACTAAAACAATTCACTATGTGGGGGTTGAACCCAGGATCTCTCGTGCTTGACGAAAGCTTAGTATAAGTTTAACCTTTGAGTAATGGAGGCGGAGAAGAAATTACTTATTGGAAAATAGATAGTTGTAGATTATGTTTGTATGAATTCTCTTACTTATCTCAAAGAAAACAAAACAACACTTAAATGTCGATATTAAGACTTAATTAGCTTATTCAGTTATTTTTTTTAAATTGATCTAAAACCGTCTTTGCACAACCATTTATATCTGTATTATTTTAAGTCTGTGTTAGGTGTAATTAACTGTGGAAAGAAGAGTTTTTTATCATTCGATCCTTATTATCTTCGTCCTTGCAAATCTTATGCTCTTTCACGGGTTGCAGAAATGTAATGCAACTATATGCGCTATCAAACGATGAGATACGTAATATTTAAATAAATGCAAAATGGCTGCCTTTCTCACCAGTCATTCGTGACCATGGAACACAAAGTAGCGATGTATAAACGCCGGAGCCGAGGCGAGTAAATATCGTATGTACTTGATCGTCTGAACTACTTGCGTTTTAGCTGCTAGCGTGAAACTATGTAACTTAGTTACTAGTGTGTAAAATCCTATGAGGATATGGCAAAAACACATTTTTATTAGGTACAGTATTTAATATTATCTTACACCTAAATGTGCTAATATAGGTATTATCTTTAGTTTCCGCAAATAGTATACATTCAATTTAAAAATCGAAAATGAATTGAAAAAAATTTCGACTCGGGCAGGACTTGAACCGGCATCGTCAGCGTTCCGTGCTGTTGCTCTACCGATTGAGCTACCATTTGAACCGGACCCTTATCGGGTCCATATAGTACTTATATGCACCCGATATGGGTCCGTTTGAAATCCTGCTGGAGTCGAATATTTTTTCAATTTATTTTCGATTCTTTTAATAATATAGGGTCTTAATATATTATATAATATGTATATAGGGCACTACATGTGAAAAATATTAAAGTTTTCAAAGTATACATTTAAATAAAACATTGTTAACGGTTTAAACTGGTAAAAAAAAACGACGACGAAGTTTCTTCTTTCTATAACTCTTTTTTTGAAGTCAGTTAAATAGCGATAATAAATTGTACGCTATGATTTATTTGGTATTGGAAACCTAACCTAACACCTAATATTTCTCAGTTTTATCCTTAAGATCGAGATAGTCTTTATTATCTTATTAAATACAATAATTATATGCAAATAAAATTGCATAATGCCGTTTTCCAGTAAAGTTGTTTGTTTTTATGTAACAAGTACGTGGAATATAGAATAATAGTTAATTGTAAGCAATGTTTCTTTCATGGTTGCGTGGACTTTTAATCGCACGTTGTCTATTCAATATCCATTTAATTACACACGATAGTATATAGTTAGGCGTTTATTGAAAATATGATGAGTGTTGCACAGACAGCCGTTTTTGTTACAGCAATTGCATACAATTTCATTCTTTGCGCACGTCGATACGTTATAGTAATTCCATGCTTCGCAAAAAACTCTAATTAAACCCGTCTAATAGCGCATTTTCGCAATTTATGATAATTTGAAAATATGAATATTGATGATCGCATTATATAAAGTAAAAATCTATTAAGATTTAAACAAATTTACGACACGGGCGAGACTAGAAGCGGGATCTACGTAACGTGCTCAAAATAATAGAGCTACGGAGTAATTTTTTTTTGAATCTAATTAAATTTTAAATTATTTACTTTTTTAAATACTCGCTGTGTTGGTCGTAGATTCAATCCCCACAAAGTTTTGTAATCATTTAGTAATTTTAGTATCTATATACCTACAAATGTCAACCTCGTGGAATAAAGACAAGTGTTAGGTTAAAAAAATACTCGATGACGGTAGGTCACGGTATCTCAAGTGGTAGAGCAACAGCACGGAACGCTGTCGATGCCGTTTCAAGTCCTGCCCGAATCGATTTTTTTTTCAATTTGTTATCGATTTTTAAATTGAATGTTTACTATTTGCGGAAACGAAAGCTCTCTAAATCTATTTTAGCACGTTTAGGTGTAAAATAATATAAAATACTGTACCTAATAAAAATGTGTTTTTCCATACCCTCATAACAGCACGGAACCCTGTGGATGCCGGTTCAAGTCCTGCCCGTGTCGTAAATTTTCTTCAATCTAAAATCAATTTTTGTATTGACTTCAATGCCATCTTGTACAATAACATGTGAAAAATTCCCTTCCATCATATAATTGGCTTGTCTGCCCCACTATGTCATTAAAAAAACGCTTCGAATGGCATCGCTTCGTGGTCATGGTACGATAAAATAGACCGTTTATCGTCCGTTTCCGTTGCGTATATTACGCGACTTTTTGCTATCAATTTCCACGGAACTGTTATTTATAATCATTGCGTTCAACTGTATTCCGGCTCGGCGTATTTGATGTTCTCTTAATTATTAGTGTAACGCCAAATTATTAAAACTAACTTTGACCCGCGGACTTTATCTTTTTTGTATTTTTCTTAATTTAAATTAATAGTAAATAATTTTATATCATTATACTAAAATTCGGGCTACAGTTTCTTCTTTTATTTATGGGTGTAACGCGAAATTATTAAAACTAGCTATTGCCTGCGGCTTCATCTGTGTTGGCATGTAAAATTTATAGGATATATGTCTCATTATACATTAAATGAATATTAAAATACTTATATATGATAATATTAAAATATAAATTCGATACTTGTTTTTATCAATTTAACTATGTCCGATATGAATGTTTCTTACCAAAGCTAAGTTTTTCATGTGAATCTCGAATAAGTTTAAATAAAACACTTTAACGGTTTAAAACGCGAATATTAGTTAAATTATTTGAAAATGATTTTTAACTTCGGCCCGACGTTTCCACCCGTCCACACGTGTCTCCCCGTGACCACGGCTGCTGCAAAGCATCCGAAACGTCGGGCCGAAGTTAAAAATCATTTTCAAATAAGTTTAACTAATATATCGCGTTTTAAACCGTTAAAGTGTTTTATTTAAATGTGTACTACTCGCGTAAACTAAAGACAGTACTCGAATAAGTTATTCCGAAGATTAACGAGTGTAGTAACGTGTACAAACAAGAGATATTTATTTTACAAATTAACGTAGCGGCTTAAAACATGAAATATATTAGTTAAAGTATTAAAAATTTGGTTTTTAAAAATCGTTTATTTAAATAAAATATTTTAACGGTTTAAAACGCGAAAATTACATGTAAAGGTGTTTTTTTCTAGAATACCTATATATAGCTCTTTTGATATCACTTCTAGCTTTATTATAATTCTATGAAATGTACAGACATACCACTTCTATTGCTTTTACAGTATAGATATACAAATAATATTGGTTTTACCCGGTTTAATACACCTATCATATTTAGTAGGAAACAGTTTTTTTAAAGTAATAGCGGTACTTACAAATTTCAGTAACAATTGCCTTTACTATTTAATTAATCGCTTCTATACACTGAAACTAAAATTGTATTTACAGGCTACCAAGACTTAATTAAATCCTAAAATATAGCTATTTATTTGTGTTTAAAGTTTCAA